CAGAGACCCATGAAAAGGCTTCCTTTATTTTCTTACTCTTGTCTGTATTTTGGTGGAGGTGCCGGGAACGAACCAGGACTTTGTGCATGCTAGGCAGGCGCTCTGCCACTGAGCTACACCCACCCCCAGGCTTCCTTTAACCGTTAAGAGTTGAGCAGTGTTGCCATTCTCGCTAAAAGTGCTACGGAACCTGCTTATGGCTGTTCCGAATTAGAACTACGGCAAGAACCAGGTTTAGGATTTTGCACTGCGTAGCTTGACCAGTGGCTTCCACTCTGAACACTTCTGGAAAGAGGTGACACTTGAATCCATTAGGTGAACTCTTTTCTTTTTTTTTAACTTATTTTTACTTTTTAATTGAAGTATAGTCACTTTGCAATGTTGTGTCAGTTTCTGGTGTACAGCATAGTGATTCAGTTATACATAGACCTATATATTCCTTTTTGTATTCTTTTTTGTTATATGTTATTATAAGATGTTGGATGTAGTGCCCTGCGCTATGCATTGGGACCTTGTTGTCTATCTATTTTACATATAGTAGTTTGTATGCTAATCTTGAACCCATGCAATCTTATTTCTATTTGCTGGCAGATTTTAAAATGGGAGAACTGTTGTAACAGTGACATAATCCAGGCAGGGCGCCCTGCAGTCAGTCACATTTAGGTCAATACGTTTAGCTTTCTAAGAAACAAGACTATAGGAATGTGGATCACGCATAGACAAAGCCCTGACAGCGTGCTCCGGGTGCGAGGAAGTATGAGGTTATGGCGCCCAGTGTGTGGATACGCACGGGTCTGTGGATCCTCGCACTGCACATCACGCACATGTAAGAGGGTGCTCATAGACAGCTTACGAAGCACTGAGGATAAGTTCTCCAAAAATATTTTTAAGATAAATAGAAGCTGAAGTATTTAGTACCCAGGATGATGGGTTTTCTCAGCCTTCCTTCAAAACATTTCCCCAGACAGTCAACAATGGCCGCCCTGACCCCTCGGTGTGAGTAACTCTTATGACAAACCACGGCGAGGGCTGAGGACCGAGTTTTAGGTCAGGCCTGAGCAGTAGCAGAGGGGTGAGATTTTTAAGTGAGCCGGCCAGCTTGGGAACCTTCGGAACATGCGTCCCAAACACAATTTGCGGACAAAGGCCAGGCTGAGAGCGCGTTTTGACCCACTGATGGCAGGAAAGGAAGGAGAATGTGGGCTAATGAGAAAGCCCTCATTTGTTGAGAGGACTGTGTGTGTTTTTTCCTGAGATGATGTTTCTACTACAATTGGTGTTAAAATGAAGAGTGGTGATATTATTACTTGCCAATACTAAAATTGGGCAGTCCTATGTCAGTTTGAAAGTTTGGGTATGTCTTATTTGTGCGTAAAATCCAGGTCTGCCTAACCTAGGACTTTTGCAAAGGAGCTTGGGGGCCTGAGGTTTTGGGTGCATGGAGGGGAGGCCCCGGGGCACAGCCTCTGTCCTCTGGCCAGTGCTCACACTTGGGGATGACTCTGGAAGACTGAGGACATCAACTTCCTTCATTTGATTTTCTTTCCAAGAGGAAAGACAGAGAAGAGGTGATATAAGAGTCTAACTTCTCACACCCTCGTAAAAAAATGCATTCATGATTAACGCATCAGCCTCTTGCACAAACCTCGTCTGCCAGGAATCCTAGGGCGTCGTCCGCTGTCTGCGTTCCAACATTTCTTCTGCCGTGCATGTTGTTTGCAGGTGTGCACAGTATGTCAGTTCTAACCACTGTCCCACTATTTTCATGTAACAGGCCTGACTGAAATGTTCCAGACTCCAGTGAAGAAGAAACCACAAAGGATGAGCCTGGGTCCCTCCACCCTTTCAAATTCAGGGGATTTTATTGGAAAAAAGCTTCCAGCATCTAATTCAGGAGAAGAGCCTCTGTCGCACACTTCAGAATATTCTGGTTGGTTTGCCTTTTTTTATCCCTCGCACTTTGATTCTCTCCATGGCAACCGGAGACGGTGCTCTTTGCTCACAGTGGCTGTTGTACAACTTTTCTACAGCAGATACCCCTGTCAGAGCGCCGCGTCCAGCTTCCCCACCCTACTGTTTTTAAGGGAAGTTCCTGTCAGCCACTGAACTAGCATTGACCTTCAGAGACTTGCATAACAAGGAATACTC